GGGAGACAGCGCATCCAGATCTGCCATAGGAAACTCTATTCCTTTCCTCTTCAGCTCTTCATAAATATGGACAACTCCAGTGAGGTCAGGACTGCTCCGGAAAGCATCTGCCCAAGCCTGCGGGGGATAAAGCAAGTGCATTCTATGTATTTGCTACTTGTAAATGTATGTTATTTTATGTACTTATAATGCAAAAATTTCTGTATAACCGTTAAATTAGAACTAAAGGCAAGCCTTTTTTTCCCATTTCGGACAGGGAGGGTTATAACCCCTGTCATGTTTTTTTTTTTTGCCATCTGTGTCCTATTGGGGAGATTTCACTTTCTGTCCCGTAGCCAAAAAAGTAAGTGAGCGGAAATCCCTCCAAAGTGAGGGAATCCCTGGTTGTCGCAAGAACTAGTGTCTTCATGGGAGGATTTCTCCTCTTTTCTTGTTCTGGTGATTTCTAATTTTTCTAAGCTAGGCTATGTGAATGGGGATATATGACAAATATAAAGTAGATGTTACCCCAATTTGGCTGCAAAAGTGGAAATACATTTTAGAGTCACATTTGTAAGCCATTTTAAGATGGCGAACGAATCCCAAGCATTAGTAAAGTCACTCTTTGCTGCTTACCTTTAGAATGAGCTTCTGCCTACCCAATGCACTCCTGGAGCACCCACACTTTTGAATATCAAAAGTCTTCATGCAGTCCCCATTCCTATACTGCCAAGCTTGGTATCCATTGACCATCATCAGATTTGAACACTGTCACACTGTTGGGGGCATGGCTCAAGGTGGGAGTGAGCAGTGTGCGGTCATTGCAATAAGCCTTGGGTGGAGCTGAATGTCTTTGGTGTGCGGCCCATTATTTGGATGGTGGATGACAGTGGAGAAAGAGTAGACTCCAAGGCCTTGACAGCAGGCTGACTGCAGCGAATTGAGGATAGAGACCGGTCTCTGGTCAGTGAAAGGGTTGGGTTTGGGTTTGATAGAAAAAAAAAAAAAAACTCATCAGCCAGCAGGTTGATGAAAAAAAACTAAACGGATTCCCCTATCGACAAAAGATGGGGGAATCCTCCTTGCTGTGCTATTGTATTCTGACAAAGGGACTCCTTTTCTGTTAGAATATACTGATCAGGACTGCAGCCAATTGGCTGCAGCTCTGATCAAACAAAAATTTTCCAAAAAGCTCAAATCAAGAGATCGAATTAGATTGACTGCTCCCGAATGGAAACAGGTATAGACAGATCGAAGTTCAGCTGCTCCCTGATGAACTGGCTGAATTTCCCCTATCCACAAAAGATGGGGGAATCCTCCCTGCTGTGCTATTGTAGTCTGACAAAGGGACTCCTTTGCTGTTAGAATATACTGATCAGCACTGCAGCCAATTGGCTGCAGCTCTGATCAAACTAAAATTTTCCAAAAAGCTCAAATCAAGAGATTGAATTAGATTGACTGCTCCCGAATGGAAACAGCTATAGACAGATCGAAGTTCAGCTGCTCCCTGATGAACTGGCTGAATTTCCCCTATCCACAAAAGATGGGGGAATCCTCCCTGCTGTGCTATTGTATTCTCAGAAAGGGACTCCCTGATGAACTGGCTGAATTTTGATTCATCTCCAGCCAACATCTGTCAAATATAAACAAAAATAGTGTAGCACAACCAAATAAGTGATAAAGTATAAAGTCGGGCCTTCCGCTTCCTCTTGTACCAAACTGTATTGTAACTGTAATGTCTACCTTCATTTTGTAAAGCTGTTGGCGCAATATAAATCCTGTATAATAATATGTCCCAAGATCCAATCACCGACAAGTGTCCAATAATGATCTTCATAAAAGAACACCCGTGTGTCAACGACCTCCACCAAAAAGAAGATCGTCCGTTCACCTTCAGAGCATGATCTCTGAGCTAACAGTAGGTCATATGCGCTTTCCCATTAACGACTTAAGTTCTCATTCAAATGCTGCTCTTCTCTGCTCCCAAAAAGCTCAAATGTGTAGAAACATTCATGCAAAATAGAGACACAGCCAATACATTTTTAATACTTCTAAAATAGAGTACCACTAAGAAAATAAACCACTCTGCTGTGCCGGGATATAAAGAACTCAACAACATTACCACTCAGTAAGATGATGTCATATGAGTGGCTCCACCCCCCCCCAATCGTGTTCCGTCCTCAGCGGGACTTCCACAGTAGGCCTAATGCTATGCAACTGCTGACAATGTTAAAGCGGAGTTCCACCTGAAAAAAAAAAAAAAAAAAAAAAAGTCAGCAGCTACAAAAACTGTAGCTGCTGACTTTTAAAATACAGCCATTTACCTGTCCCCCGGTCCTGTGGTGTCCTCACCACGGCTGGTTTCACCGGCCGTCTTCTCTCCCTGGCACCGGCATCTTCAGTGTGGGCACCCGGCTGTGACAGCTTGCTGCTTCACAGGCGGGTGCCAACAGTGCATGCACGAGAAGCGCTGCGCTTTTTGAATGGCCCCGTAGTCTTCTGGGACCTGTCACGTGTCCCAAAAGACTACGAAGAGGGAGGGGGTGGAGGACAACTTCCGCTTCCGATCGCCTAGGTCAGGGGTAGGCAACCTGCGGCTCTCTAGCGGTTGTTGAACTACATTTTCCATGAGGCATTGCAAAGATTACAAAACTGACAGTTACAGCTATGACTTGCAGAGGCATGATGGAACTTGTAGTCCTGCGGCTCTCAGGTTGCCTACCCCTGGCCTAGGCAATCTCAACGGATGTGAGAGCGGGTACCTGTCAAATTTGGGTACCCCGGTCCTCAAAGGCTCCAATCCTTAATGGGGAGTGGGGAACAAAGGCTTAAAGTGGAACTTCCCTTTTTGGGTGGAGCTCCACTTTAAAGTCAATACTTGCACAAGCTCTAAAAGATTGCATCAGATTTTTAAACAAGACTCTGATCTGGTCTATAACCTCTGTATGCACACTGCTATTATATCACTCACCTTGTTTTACCTCAGTTCCTAGGCAGGAAAGAGTTGCTCCGGACGAAGTTAGTAGGGAAAGAGGTTGACATGCTTGGTAAGAAGATGGAGAAGGGAACTGGTCCTCCATACGATAGACACTGAACTGGTGCAGAACACTATACTCCCTTACACACTGCCCTCCAGATCGGACTGGTGACAGTATCACAGGTGACATCTGATCTGCACCTACCAACAGATGGAGACCCTATCCCCTGGAAATTCTAATCCATAGCCAGCAGTTCTCTGCTTTTGATACTTCAGTTTTTTTCATTAAAAAAGAACCTATTACTTCTCAAGAGACAAAGGAGTGCAAGGGTACTGAAAGGTAAACACAGGTTCACTATAAACATTTCTTGTCATCATTCTAAAAATGTGCAGGTAAGAGCACAAAAAATTGAAAACAAGAAAAAAAAATATTCTCAACCAATTGACTGCAGACATAGTACAGGAGATGACCAGAGACTGCAGACACGGTACAGGAGATGACCAGAGACTGCGGACACAGTACAGGAGATGACCAGAGATTGCGGACACGGTACAGGAGATGATCAGAGACTGCAGACATAGTACAGGAGATGACCAGAGACTGCGGACATAGTACAGGGGATGACCAGAGATTGCGGACAGTACAGGAGATGACCAGAGACTGCGGACACAGTACAGGAGATGGCCAGAGACTGCGGACACAGTACAGGAGATGGCCAGAGACTGCGGACACAGTACAGGAGATGGCCAGAGACTGCGGATACAGTACAGGAGATGGCCAGAGACTGCGGACACAGTACAGGAGATGACCAGAGACTGCGGACACAGTACAGGAGATGACCAGAGACTGCGGACATAGTACAGGAGATGACCAGTGACTGCGGAAACAGTACAGGAGATGACCAGAGACTGCGGACACAGTACAGGAGATGACCAGAGACTGCGGACATAGCACAGGAGATGACCAGAGACTGCGGACATAGTACAGGAGATGACCAGAGACTGCGGACATAGTACAGGAGATGACCAGAGACTGCGGACATACTACAGGAGATGACCAGAGACTGCGGACATACTATAGGAGATGACCAGAGACTGCGGACATAGTACAGGAGATGGCCAGAGACTGCGGACACAGTACAGGAGATGACCAGAGACTGCGGACATACTACAGGAGATGACCAGAGACTGCGGACATACTATAGGAGATGACCAGAGACTGCGGACATAGTACAGGAGATGGCCAGAGACTGCGGACACAGTACAGGAGATGACCAGAGACTGCGGACATACTACAGGAGATGACCAGAGACTGCGGACACAGTACAGGAGATGACCAGAGACTGCGGACATAGTACAGGGGATGACCAGAGACTGTAGACCTTAGGGGAGGGAGGGGGGCTGAGTACCCAAATTTGTCAGGTACCCACTCCCACTTCTGCGGAGTTGTCCTCCCCCCTCCCACCCCGTAGTCTTGTGGGACACATGACAGGTCCCAGAAGACTATGGGGCCATTCACAAAGCGCAGCGCTTCTTGCGCATGCGCAGTGGGCACCCAGCTGTGAAGCTGCAAGCTGTCACAACCGGGTGCCCACACTGAAGATTCCGGCACCAAGGAAAAAAGACGGCCGGTGAAAGCAGGACACCGCTGGAATAGGGAACAGGTAGGACCGAGGAACAAGTAGGACCGAGGAGCAGGTTCTTTTGCACAGTAGAGCCGAGTGGCCGGCCCGGTATTCTATCACGGCGGCGGCGACGGGGGGGAGCGATACCAGGAGGGCCGCTCCATATGACACACAGACATTTTCCCCCATTTTTTGGGAGGAAAAAAGTGCGTCTTATGGAGCGAAAAATGCGGTATTTTAAAATGCTTCCCTGCCGCATCTTTCCATTCCACAAAGGTTTTTTTTATTGACCTGCAATGTTCCTGTAAGTACTTGCTGACTGATATACATTATTGAAGTGTCCTATCAGCAAGTGACTATTACAAGACTGTGGCTGAAGCTGCATCCATGATCTTGGTATTTTTTTCAGCCAACGATTGGCCGTTTTGTGAAAGTAATAATTTTAACGGCAATGTGAACAGTTGTAACCTATAAACAATTACAGGTACCTTAGTCGCCAGTGTAGTATATTATATTAAACGCACAAATAATAACCCCCCAGTCATTTTTATATATGTAATAACTCTCTCTATGTAATAATAACTCCCCTAGTTTTGAAGAAGCTAAATGACATAAAAGTTTAAATTGATATGCCTTATCTGTTAATATATACGTAAGAGTGTTAACAGGTTTTAATTATTGAAAGTTATCATTAATTAATTATTTGGAGGATCACTTCTTTAAAACGGCAAATTCCAAGTTATAAATGCAAAGAATAAACAGAGAACGTGATTGACTAGCCCAAGTTCTTTATCGACGCAACAGCATGCAGGAAGTGAGGTTGCATTATATATGGAAGAGTGAGGTTGTATTGTACAAATTCTGTCGTGATATTCTCCGGAAGAGAAATAAAGTAGAAAAATTAAAACCATGGAAGAAATCGCAAACTGACAAAGATAGATTTGTGAACATTACTAACATTTTAAATGTACATATTTAGTACATTACATGTATGTTGATATTTCTCAATTCTATGTGTAATTTTTGTTTACTTTAATAAAAATCTACAATGTAAAAACTTTAAAAAACAATTGTTAGTCTCATTTGTTTAATAATAAACATTGAAGTCGAAATTGAATTTATTTTAGATAAGTTACGCCTTTTTCTGTTTGGGAGTTATTACATATATAAAAATGACTAGGGAGTTATTATAATATATATAATAATGACTGGGGATTTATTATTACATATATAAAAATGACTGGGGAGTTATAATATATATAATATTGACTGGGAGAGTTATAATATATATATAATAATGACTGGAGAGTTATAATATATATATAATAATGACTGGGGATTTATTATAATATATATAATAATGACTGGGGATTTATTATAATATATATAATAATGACTGGGGATTTATTATTACATATATAAAAATGACTGGAGAGTTATTATAATATATATAAATATTGACTGGAGAGTTATTATAATATATATAATATTGACTGGAGAGTTATAATATATATATATATATAATAATGACTGGAGAGTTATTATAATATATATATATATAATAATGACTGTGGAGTTATAATATATATAATATTGACTGGAGAGTTATAATATATATATATAATAATGACTGAAGAGTTATAATATATATATAATAATGACTGGGGATTTATTATTACATATATAAAAATGACTGGAGAGTTATTATAATATATATAATAATGACTAGGGAGTTATTTTCCAGGGGAGTCATTATTACACGGTACACCATTTCACAGGCATGTGCAATTTTACACCTTGACATGTTTGGTATCATGGTTTCATCTTTTAGGTTTTAGCCCCCCCAAAAAAAGGTATTATACCATGATTGTGTACACTAAAACTCATTTTCCCTAAACAATTCAATTTGATAAATGGCGGTGCAAAATCAGTGTGACATAAAGATTGCAACAGCCATATTTAATGTTTGGAGTTCTAAGTAATTTCTAGCCAAAAAATGCTGATTTTAACATGAGTGTGAACAATTTTAAAATTGCCCTAAACAGCAAGTGGTTAAATTTGCTAAGGACTGGGACCACTAAAGGAAGAGCACATCCTAGACCAGGAAGAGCATTCCCTAGCACATCCTCAGTCCCATTTCTCCTGCTGCATCATAGCCCTCTTCTGTTATGGGAGCGTCCAATTACTGTCTATGCTGACCCAGCTCCTCCACCCCTCCACTCTCTGATCTTTTATGTAGTTGCTGGGGGAGGAGGGAAGTTGAACACTAAAGAAAGTGCTAGCCAATTAAATATATTGAAAGGATGTTGTCAAATTACATCCAACCTCCCCGATTCACACTGTACTTACTGCCAGTGATGCTTAGCTGTCAGTGCCCATGCAGCCAGTCCAGTGGTCCAGGGATTTGAAATCCCGGCTTTTCTCCCACTTTTCTATACAGCGCTTCCAGGACAGATCAGAGCAATTCACTATTCAGGTGCTGACCAATCAGAATCGCTCTAGTCCATCCGGGAGCACAGCAAAGAAAAGAGGGAGAAGAGCAGAGATTTCAAATCCACGGACCATTGGACTGGCTACATGGGCACCAACAGCTCAACATGCCCAGAGGTAAGTACAGTGAGTACCAGAGAAGTGTGGAGGTTGGATGGTATTAGTTCACATGTTCATTTTTTTGAAAAGGTGAACACTTTTAACTACATGGATCAATCACAGTCTGTTTCCAAAATCTGCAAAATCTGGAAGTCTGTTTCCAAAATCTGCAGGTCTCACCTGGATCAGAGCCAGCACTTTGTCCTGAACAATAGTTGGAGGGTTGTTCTTAGGGGAGACAATCTTCACCAGGACCCCATCTATGAAATCGCGGTGCGTCACAAGCACGTGAAAGCGGTGGCCGCAATTTTTCACGCAGGTTTCCAAGACCTGTGATGGAAAAAAAAAAAAGAAAACATCTTTTTGAATGATAGAAATATTCAAATGTAGATAACTGGAGCAAATCACGGAAAGAAAAATAGGTACTTTGAAAAATAATGTTCAATATAACACCAGCCATGTATTTTATACTGCACCCTTTATAGAACTAAACTGTTTGTTCACGTTATGACATTTTTTTTTCCTTTTTTTTAATTCTTTATTAACCATTTTTACATTGCACAAAGATCTGTAAAAAAGAAACCAAAAACAATACACCACTTCTTCGGTGAGAACACCGTATGAAATCTTTATCAGTTCAGTGCTTGTCATTGCTTCACACATGTCTTTATGGAAAGTTGTCACTTACCTTTTAAATGCTGTGTTACAGCCATAATGTTAAATCCTCTTTTTTCCAAAGTCATACTAAAAATTGGAATTTATGTATTTGCCATAAAGTCCCTTTACTGGAGTCCATTGAGGGACACAGCACTTCTTATTTATGAACCCTAGGATATCCTGCCGCATGCTAGAGGATTGGACACTGGGCTGAAAAACTGAAAACCAGCGCCTGGAGGTCCTAACCCTTCCTCTAGGTATCCTGCTTAACAGGGATGAGCTCAGGCATGTTTGGACTCAAAAAATAAAATGAAGGATTGCGCTAACTAAAACAAATAAAGAAACATAATATAGTATCAAATTCACACAAAAAAAATATATATATAATAAAATTTGTAAATAAAAATGTCCACAAAATCTTGTGTAGAGTCCAAACACCATAAAGTGAACAAACAATTCTGAAATCTTGTGTTGAACCAATATCACTGTGAAAAAATCCACCACCAAATGAAATGAATAGACTCGCCAGAGCTATATGCTGATCAAATTATAAATCAGCATAAGCGCTATTGCTCTGGGAGCGATGATCTGTAGAAATTTCCAAGCTCTGGGAGCAATCTACTGCAATAACCCAATCAGCACGGATGGAAACCCTTTAAACAAATGGTCATCATCTCATCATGTTTGGACTCAAGTCTGAACCCACCTGAGCTATTCTGCAAGGACATTTTCCATGCAAGCCACTAATTATAAGCGGCCTAGTGAACACTAAAATGGAACTTATAAAGTTCCATTACCTTGTTACGCAGGACTTTTGACAGTTCTTTTCTGATCCCCGTGGCTGAGTATCTAGCCAAGTCAGTGCTTCCACGTACAGTCAGGTCCATAAATATTGGGACATTGACACAATTCTAACATTTTTGGCTCTATACACCACCACAATGGATTTGAAATGAAACGAACAAGATGTGCTTTAACTGCAGACTGTCAGCTTTAATTTGAGGGTATTTACTTCCAAATCAGGTGAACGGTGTAGGAATTACAACAATTTACATATGTGCCTCCCACTTGTTAAGGGACCAAAAGCAATGGGACAATTGGCTTCTCAGCTGTTCCATGGCCAGGTGTGTGTTATTCCCTCATTATCCCAATTACAATGAGCAGATAAAAGGTCCAGAGTTCATTTCAAGTGTGCTATTTGCATTTGGAATCTGTTGCTGTCAACTCTCAAGAGGAGATCCAAAGAGCTGTCACTATCAGTGAAGCAAGCCATCATTAGGCTGAAAAAACAAAACAAACCCATCAGAGAGATAGCAAAAACATTAGGCGTGGCCAAAACAACTGTTTGGAACATTCCTAAAAAGAAGGAATGCACCGGTGAGCTCAGCAACACCAAAAGACCCGGAAGACCACGGAAAACAACTGTGGTGGATGAGCGAAGAATTCTTTCCCTGGTGAAGAAAACACCCTTCACAACAGTTGGCCAGATCAAGAACACTCTCCAGGAGGTAGGTGTATGTGTGTCAAAGTCACCAATCAAGAGAAGACTTCACCAGAGTGAATACAGAGGGTTCACCACAAGATGGAAACCTTTGGTGAGCCTCAAAAACAGGAAGGCCAGATTAGAGTTTGCCAAACGACATGTAAAAAAGCCTTCACAGTTCTGGAACAACATCCTATGGACAGAGGAGACCGACATCAACTTGTACCAGAGTGATGGGAAGAGAAGAGTATGGAGAAGGAAAGGAACTGCTCATGATCCTAAGCATACCACCTCATCAGTGAAGCATGGTGGTGGTAGTGTCATGGCGTGGGCATGTATGGCTGCCAATGGAACTGGTTCTCTTGTATTTATTGATGATGTGACTGCTGACAAAAGCAGCCGGATGGATTCTGAAGTGTTTCGGGAATATTATCTGCTCATATTCAGCCAAATGCTTCAGATCTCATTGGACGCTTCACAGTGCAGATGGACAATGACCCAAAGCAGACTGCAAAAGCAACCAAAGAGTTTTTTAAGGGAAAGAAGTGGAATGTTATGCAATGGCCAAGTCAATCACCTGACCTGAATCCGATTGAAAACAAAACTGAAGGGAAAATGCCCCAAGAACAAGCAGGAACTGAAGACAGTTGCAGTAGAGGCCTGGCAGAGCATCACCAGGGATGAAACCCAGTGTCTGGTGATGTCTATGCGTTCCAGACTTCAGGCTGTAATTGACTGTGAAGTGAAAGTGAAAGTTTGATTATGATTTATGATTATTATTCTGTCCCATTACTTTTGGTCCCTTAACAAGTGGGAGGCACATATGCAAATTGTTGTGATTCCTACACCGTTCACCTGATTTGGATGTAAATACCCTCAAATTAAAGCTGACAGTGTGCAGTTAAAGCACATCTTGTTCATTTCATTTCACATCCATTGTGGTGGTGTATGGAGCCAAAAATGTTAGAATTGTGTCGAAGTCCCAATATTTATGGACCTGACTGTAAGAGCTAACAAACTCATTGACTATTTATACACACACTAATTGCAATTTAAAAAGCCACAGATGTGGGTCATTAACCTCTAATTAGCATTTTAACCCGTGTGTGTCACCTTGTGTGTCTGTACCAAGACCAAACATTCCAGGGGAGGGAAACTTTTGATGCGGACCATTTGGGTGATTTCTGTTATCATTATGATTTTAAAAGGAGCCAAACAACTATTTGATAATAAATGGCTTCATATGATCATCATCCTTCAATAAAAGAGCATTTTGTGGCATGATCAGTCATATTTTCAATATCAATGCCAAAATGTCACAATTTCTGCCAGGGTATGCAAACCTTTGAGCACAACTGTATACATAGATAAAATGTGTAGTGCTATCCCGAAGAATAGTAAGCATATTACACACACACAATAGTGAATGAAATGCAAACAAAGCAAGTGTAAAATCTAAACACAATCTCAATATCAGCTATAAGCGGTAGTAAGCTAATAATCCTAAATAAACATAAGGGCAATCAGTCAAATACAGGGGGATTTGATTTAAATCAAACTGATTTAAATCACTAGTCAGTAAGGCTTGATGTAAATCCTAGTTTTCTACATAAAGACTAATTCTTGCTGGTATAACGTTAATATACAAGTAGATGAAGATTTTTAGAATAACAACTTTTCATATTAGTTTTTTTTATCCCCAGTTTAATAGGTTAATCATTCATATTTGGACAACTTTTCTGTTGTACTTAGGAAGGAGAAAAATAATCATTACCTTAATAATAACAATTTAAATAGATTTATTCAACTGAAACAACAACATTCCAGCAGATGTGATTTGCTTAAACATCCATGTTTGTTAACTAATTTGGCTAAACAAAATATATATATTTTAAGAAACTTCGACTGTCAGCCCCTTCCTCCTCACACTTATGCAGGCCATAGATGGGTCGAAAATCGGCCGATTTTTCGGCCGAAAATAAAATCGGCCGATTTTCGGATCGTTAGTGGGCGATTTGGTCGGCCGTTTTTCGGTATTTTGGCCGGTTTTTTTTTTCCGGTAAAGTTGGAAAAAAATCGGCCGATTTTGCCGATCGGCCGATTTTCGCGGCAATTAGTGGACAAATCGGCCGATTTTTTACCGATAAAAAATCTGCGCATGAGCAGTGACCTGCAAGAGGAAGACAAAAAGATGAAGAAGAAGAAGAGGAAGACGATGAAGAAGAGGATGAAGAAGAAGAAGAGGAAGAAGAAGAGGATGAAGAAGAAGAGGATGAGGATGATGAAGAAGAAGAGGATGAGGATGATGAAGAAGAAGAAGAAGAGGATGATGAAGAAGAAGAGGATGAGGATGAGGATGAAGAAGAAGAGGATGAGGATGAAGAAGAAGAAGAGGAGGATGAGGATGAAGAAGAAGAGGATGAGGATGAAGAAGAAGAGGATGAGGATGATGAAGAAGAAGAGGATGAGGATGATGAAGAAGAAGAGGATGAGGATGATGAAGAAGAAGAGGATGAGGATGAAGAAGAGGATGAGGATGAAGAGGATGAGGATGAAGAAGAGGATGAAGAAGAAGAAGAAGAAGAAGAAGAAGAAGAAGAGGATGAAGAAGAAGAAGAAGAGGATGAGGATGAAGAAGAAGAAGAAGAAGAGGATGAGGATGAGGATGAAGAAGAATAAGAAGAAGAAGTAGGATGAAAATAAGAAGAATTCCAGTCCAGCAAAAAGTGTCTCTGCAGAGAGCTCCGCTATTTCTGACAGTTCTCTGACAGTTCCTTGACATTTACAGCGGTTGAAACATTGTATCTATTTGTTTTCGAATAAAAACATCTGTATCCTAAATAGAAACAAATAGATACATTGTTGCAACTTCTATAAATGTCAAGGAACTGTCAGAGAACTGTCAAAGAAATAGCAGAGCTCTCTGCAGGGACACTTTTTGCCGGCTCTAGACGGGTAGAAAATCGGCTGATTTTTTTTACCATTGATGGTAACGTCGGCCACTTGAACAACCGATTTTTCGTTTTTTAAAAGAAAAATCTGCAGTTTTTCTCCCCATCTATTTTTGCTGGACACTTTTTGCTGGACTGGAATTCTTCTTATTTTCATCCTACTTCTTCTTCTTTTTCTTCTTCATCCTCATCCTCTTCTTCTTCTTCTTCATCCTCATCCTCTTCTTCATCCTCATCCT